ACTACTATCAGCCTTTTACAGGGCCCTGTTACCATACCTTGCTTAAATATCTTGTACGTTCATGTTATTTTCATTCACCCTTAGGGAATATCTTTCTCAGAATACAAGCAAATAAAAGTATTTTTCTCTATTTAATTATTTATTAAATGTCAAACACCAAGGGATTCCAGAAATGAGATTAAGTCCAACCCCAATTCTAAGGAAATTTAATGCTAAAGACTGATGTGTGCATAGTTTGGTTTTAAAAAACTAAGAAGATTATTAAAATGATTATATAAACCAAGTGGTGTGGAGTTAATTCAGACATGAAAAGAGGTGGCATTTTAAATGGACTCTGGGAATAGTTTTAACAGGTAAAATTACAGGCAGAAAAATAAAGCATGTTTTCTGAGATATCTGAATATGGGGGTCTTGGGATGCTTAGAAGTCTAAGAGAGGGAAGTTTGGACCAAATTAGAGAGAGGAGGGACGGAATACAAAGTCAAAAGTATCTTAACTATTTTGTAGGCATCAGAGAGTGTTTCATTTTGCAAAAGAGCAACATCAGTAGTATGTTTTAGGAAAATGTTTATGAATATTGCAGGGCTTACAGGGAATTTTGGTTACTTAAACCAGTGAAGTAAAGAGGGCATGGAGAGAAATAGAAAGTTTGAGACTTAGAATTAAGAGGCCTTGACAAGTAATGAATGGGGAATAGGTGCAAGAAAGGATTAAGATTTTAAGACTGGCTAGTTGAATTGGTGGTGCCATTAACTGGGGGAAGAAATGAGGGAAGGAAAATGACTAATTTTCGATTGTTGTCTTGGAGACACAAAAACATCCTACAGTATCTTATTTGATTCTCACAAAGATCACAATTGTCAAAAACATAACTTTCTCGAAGTCATTTGCATTTTAAAAATTGTTTATTGAAACTTGAGCTTCACGTAATTAATGAATACCTAATTCAGAAATTCCAGGCTTTAGAGAGTAATGGAAGATGTATATTTTCTTAGCAGAAGAGTCCGAGTTCCAGAAATCCTGGCAGTCACCTGTTTATAGGCCATGTTCACCCTAATAGTTTTAGATTATAAGCAGACAGCCAATCATGAACGCTCAGAATATTTGAAAAGAGTTGTGAACAAAGAAGGGGCCACATACTAAACCCGATAAGCTCAGGGGAGGCCAGCATGGTGAGCCTTACAACTTCAGAGACCAAAAGTAACCACATAGGATGGTCTGAAAATAAAAATTTCTAACTAAAAGCAGGTCATGACGGGTAGTCAAATCTCTAGGCCTGTAGCTTCTGTGACAAGGGTCAATCTTTACTTTAAGTGAGCCTATCTATTGTCTTTTTGCATCTAAGATTACATACCTTTGAAATGTCATAGTAATTTCCTTTTCCAGACTCCTCAGGACACAACCGCCTGCACCAGAGCAGGAGACCACAGAACCCCTCATAGTTATCTTGTTTCTCACATAACATCTCTACATGCTATAAATGTTAAACTATGTGTCTCTCCGTTTTACTTTTTATCCCAGAGATTCTCCTGCTTTGCTTTCTCCTGCCCCTTTAATTTACCACCAATGGATTTCATGTAACCCTCCTTTGATTCTAATGTATACAATAAGCTGTGAAATTGCCATTCTCCAGAGAATTTTATCAATACATTGAGATTTTGCTTCTTGGCAATTGTCATCAGTTTGGGCCAAATAAACTCATAAAAATTCTCTGCAGGTTTGGACATTTTTTACGACAGAGTTTAGTGCTGTTAAAGAAAAAAAAAACACAGATCCAAAATGGTATCATTGCTGCTAAAAGAACATGATGCCAAAACTAGATTTAATGCCTGATCTAGTTTCAATCTCTCCCAGAAACATAATCTATATCAATCAGTATGAAATTTTCTGGTCAAGAACCAGTAAGGTATCTGTCATGTGGGTCCCCTCCATTCCCCATAGAAAGAAGAGGCAATAGATATAATAAAAACCCCCTTCCTTTCTCTTTCCTCAAAGAAAAGATTCCCTGGGCCAAAAATAATCCTTTATTTTCTTTTGCTACCTTCTCCATCCTATAAAATCCTTCTATTTGAACAACTCCGTGGAGCGCCCTTCTAGTTGCTAGATGGGATGCTGCCTGATTTATTAATCACTTAATAAAGCCAATTAATCTTCATTTTTAATTGGTTGAATACAGTTTTTTTGTTTGTTTGTTTTTAAAAACAGTATCTATTGTGACAATGTAACAGAGTGACTTGGCCTCTCTGACTCCATCTTGTTCAAGCTTGCTTTGTTCTCATGGCCTTCAAGCTAATAACTCTGCTTAGTATTGCATATAGACAGGCTAATCATTAGAGGAATTCTTTTTGAGGGTAGTTTTGAGTTTTACAAAAAACAGCCCTTTAGCATTAGGTGCCTCTCTTAAGTAGATAAGGAAAGTATGTGCAAAAATAATGGATGTTTATCAAACATTTGCAGGAACCTCTAGGGACTCACAACTAGAGTCAACAAAATAAGAACAAAGAAGTTTCACAATTTTCCTCGGACCCCTGCAGGTACCAATCACTCTTGCCCCTCCCATTTCCCCTTCCCCTGACATAAACGAAGCCTGACATTCTGTACTTTCTTAAGATGGATTTGAGGCAACACTAGGTCTCCCATCTTCTCAATCAATACAACTTTCCTTACTCCAAACTCTGACATTTTGAGTTTTGGCCTTTCAAAGCATCAGGCACACAAACTTTGGTCTGGTAACAACAGCTGTATTAAGGGGACAACAGTTGACATAAAGTACTTAGGGGGACTGTGCTAGATACATTACATACGTTATCTCACGGGTCAGTAAATTCTTTCTATAAAGGGATCTGATACTAAATATGTTGTCCATTTTAGTGGGCACACAGTCTCTGTGTTAACTACTCATCACTGCTCTTACAGAGCGAAAGTAGCCACAAATGAATAAGCTTCTCTGTGTTCTAAAGAAACTAAGTTTATGGTCACTGAAATGTGAATTTCATATAATTTTCACATGTCATAAAATATTATTCGTAAAAATATTTTTAAAAACCATCCAGAAACAGAATAGTCATTCTTAGCTCAAAGACCATACAAAAACAAAATGGTTGAATGCTAACTTTTATGTTATCTCATTGGGTTAGTGGGGGTTTCCTAAATGACCAAATAAATGGAGATTATACTGTCAAGCAAACGGGATAGAGTTTTCTCAGTAGCCTCGGTGCTCACCCTACTATCAGTCACTTTCTGCCACACTCTTGGCACTGGGCCTGATGGTGCTTCATTCAACTGTGCTTAAGGTTAAGAGCCACTCCTATATGTCTAGACTCGAGACAAACCAACTTAAGAACTGTCAACTACAAGGATATACAACTGATCTTGAGGGCTTGAGTTGAAGAGGTATGACAGAATTGCGTGTTTTTATAGATCAAACTGGCTACAGCATGGCCAAGAGGTAAAAGAAAGCTACAGATTGTTGCAGTAATCCAAGGTAGAGAAAATGGAGATCTCCACTGAGCTGACAGAAAGAGGGGACTAAGAAGAGTAGACAGACTGGAGATATATATTAGAATTAGGTACTCTATTAGATGAGGATTCGTCACATTGTTTTATACCTGTATCACAGGGATAAAGATAAAATGGAACTTTAAGCAAACATAATCAGTCAGGAAGGTCTATGGGAGAAGCTACAAGTGCCAGAACCCTACAGGAAGAACTCCATGTTTATAATAAAGTTCTATGGTTAAACTTCCTTTTCCTTTATATAAAGACCCCTTTATCTTGGCACAGTGGCCAGAGTGTGCACGTGGCTTGCCATGTCTCCATGACCAGGGTTGCAATCCTTTTTTTTTTGACGAATAAATACTTTTGCTGACAAAACACTTAGTATTATTTTTCAGTTGACAACAGGATAAAAAGGATCGATAACATTTTAAAGTGCCACCTAAATTTGGTTGGAATAGATCACTTTTTAATTATTAATAACTATTTAAAAAACTTTCTGGATCCTGTCGGTTTGTCTGATTTACTGAGTCCCCTACTCCAAAGTGGCAGAACATTTTCATTTTTTCAACAAAATGTTAGTTGGAAATACTTTTTCTGAACAATTTTTTAAAAATCTGCATTTACCACACTCCAGAACTGGGAATCGCCGCGCGGATACACTTCTCTCAATTTCCAGACTGTTTCCAGAGGTTTAGCTTGTTCTAGCGGTTTCCCAAGGCTCCTCCACGCCCACCCCGGGACACGCCCCCGATACTTACCCCCTCCCTGTCCGGATCCGAACGCTCCGATCTCCCGCCCACTCGGGCGGCTCCGTCCCCTCCAGCTCGGAGTCCCAACTCCTTCCCTCCTTCCGTCGCTTTCCCCCTCTCCCCGCCCCCATGGCTGCCTTCGATTGGCTGAGCTGGCTGCGCCGCGGCCGGGCTGCAACACAGCCTCGCTGGGATTGGTTGAGAGGAGCCGGGGCCCCCGCGATTGGCTGGTAAGAGCAGACAGCAAGTGTGACTGCGCACCGGGGTGTGTGGGCGCCGCTTTGTTGCCCGAGGCGGGTGGCGGTGGAAGTTGAGGGGGTCAGAGGCTAGCGCTTCTCGGGACCTCTAGTCGCGGCCGTCGCAGTCACGT